AATGTAAACTTTTAACGTAATTTTCTCGATATTTGAAAAGAAAAGTATGAATTTGTTAAACTTTAGGCCTAGTAAAGTAATTTTGAGGCGTATAAACGAGGTAAGACGAGGAAGAGAAATGCGGTAAAGTAGTGCCCATATAAAAAAATATTTTTCGTTACAGGTAATAACTCATATGTATTTTTTCAAAACACGTATCGACCAGTCAAAACTTTGACTTTAAGTGGCCATCGTGATTTTTTCTAAGACTAAAAAAAACTACATGTATGGTTCTATACTCAAAAAGAAAACTATTCGTTCTTTTCTTTGTCTTACGATTTATTTAGAAAAAAAAATGAAATAATATAAATTTCCCTGGGAGATAGATAATAATATAAAAGATAAAAGTAACATCTTCGTGGGACACCTGTATAATATTTGCATACATCATTCTATTGAAAGTAATTTATTGATTATCGGCACCCAAAAGCATGCGAAAGGGAGAAACCAATAATTGAAAACTAATGTTTTAACGGTGTAGTTTTTTATTTTGAAAGTTGTCCGTTAAAAAACATCCGTTTATGATATTGCGCAAGATCCATAATATCCTAATCGGTTATTATAGTATAAGATAATATACATGGATTACACTTAACGGTATGTTTCATTTTCGAGAAGGATAAATTACCGAGTACGGAGTAAAACGGTTTCAATAAATAATACCTACACTAACACGGTAGTCTGCGGACGAGGTAAATTTTTTTATTTTGACAAATTTGATTTCGCCAACGACGGCGTTAGTACACATCTTGTTGTACATTACTGTACCGGAATTAATCTAGATCCGCGTTGGCGAGGATGATAACGAGTTTTTTTTCACACACATACAAAAATTTTCATTTAGATAATTGATCCCCCGGGAACCGTTAGGTAAGTATTGAAAAAATATAAAAACAATAATAATAATGTGCTTCGGCCAAGACAAATACTCGTACTCGTAACAATCAACTAAAAGGCGGACAAATTCAATACCAGTTTATATTTCAGTGTTTTGGCAGACAATAATACGATCCGGCAAAACAAACACTTCAGACAATCGAGTAAAACGCGTCCCAATTTTTGTATACAAGTAGCTCGTGTTGACGATTTAATAGCATAATAATAATAATAATGATAAAGTAATTATTGCGACTTCGATTGTTCCCTTATGACATTATTTCTATTGAAAATCAATTGTGGATTAATTCCGTAAACAATATTCTAGGTCTGCTTGAATCCAAGCGCTTTTAATACCCGCCTCTATAATAAATTCAGATAATATTCAGACTCCTCGCTCGTGGGTAGGTACTGCAGAAATCATGAAAATTCAGAACAAACCAAATGATCTAATAAGCAACATCGTAACAGACAGCAGAAACATAAACACTCGATAGTCTACCACAAAACGATACAACAAAAGTCTACAAACATAATAATGCCGTACAACCATATAATATAACAAAAAGACTGATCCGATTAAAACACTGTGGGAGGTCAAAGATCTTTTGGATACATTATAACTGAGTAATAAAAATCCTAACAGTAAATATCGACAAGTCACAATATCGCGGTTATAATCGAGTTAAAAAAAAATTAGCTACATGTTTTTTGAAAAATCTGTTATTTATATTTTACAAATCATTCTCGTAAAATTAACCTTCACGTCTATTTTCTACGTACAGGTAAAACCGCACAAATATAAAATAGTAATCTTGGCATACCATTATTTTTTTTTTTTTAAAAGACTCCTTTAAAACTAAAAAACAATGTAGTTTTTAACTGCCCAATATTGAAATCAAGTTTAATATCGGAAAAAATCAACGGGAGGAAGGGGGTCATAAACCAAAGGTAAAAAAACGGTTCTCCTGTGAGCTGTGGTACAATATATATTTAATAACTAGGTACACGACAATTCGTTTTGCATTTTGCAATTTTTATCATTATTATATTATTGGCGTATGAGTAATATATTATAATGTTTAATCCGTTCAACGTGAAAAGTAAAACCGCTTGCAAAAACGTTTTACCGTACCTATACAGTTGCGTAACGTTTAGGATATGCTTTTTATTGGAAAATTAAAATTGTACATTTTTTTTTTACTATAATAATAACGTGTGACTTGTTGACTGTTATTTAACATTTATTATTATTATATGGCTATAATTTTAACTTAACGACCGTCGACTGTTAAGGTTTAGCCAGACCGACTTGACCAATCTATAAGAATTGACTTAAGGCCACTCCACCTGTGAATGGTCAATCATACCTGTGTACTTTTACCTACTGTATTTTTATCAGGCAGCGAAACACGCAGGGTAATACGGTTAGATGAAATTTGTGTTTAATATCATTAAGTCAGTTTGCCGTTTATAATTTACACGCCGTGTATACATACAATATACATATATAGTATAGCACTATTAAAGTAAAGTGCAGTTTGTCGAAATTGCATAAATAGATTACTTAAGTATTTATATAAGCACTTAATACTTTACTGTTAGGCACAAAATAAGTTTTCATTCCCGTCGATGTCTAACAGAATACATTTTTTTAATTATTTATACTAAGTTAAATATATACATTTTTTTTTTTGTAGATTGTATTTTGTATGTACAAATTATCTAAAACGATTATATGGAAAATAATATGTACATACTTATCTAAAACGATATTTCAAATCAAGTTCATCGAATTCGTATAAATGGCATCGTCATTTATCTGTTTCTGTACAGCTTTACTCTAGGAAGTCCTTCTAAATTATTTCCTGATCAGTATTCAATCAGTTGAAAATATTACGACCTATTTTTATTTTTAAAGTGACACTCACAAATTGCAACAAGTATAAAATTAAAAAATTTTCTTTAAAATTGTTTTATTTAGACAATGGTTGTTTGACATGAAACACCAAAAAAATGGTTAGGTAGGTTTGTTTTTTTGTCGTTTTGGACCAAAGAGCCAGACAAAATTTCGACTACTTAGTATGGTCCGATTTCAATTCTGTAAAGATATACTAGTTTTTTTAGCAACTTTACTAGGTTATGTAGAAAACAGATTTTTAATGTAAAATAATTGGGTTTTAATATTGAAAAAATTACAAATAAATGTATTTAATTACAAGAAAATGAAAATGTTAAATGCAAATTGTCTTCCTACATGACATAGTAAAGTCGACATTTATCTGGCTTTTTGATCTAAAATAATCAAAATAGCTTTTGTTCATAGAAGAAATTATACCTTGAAGCTTATACAAATTAACCGGTAAATTATTTGACATGGTCGAAATTTATTAAAACCAATTTTTATCAAAACTCCTTAAAAACAGACCGCATGGAATCCACTTAAATAACAAAATAAGCTTTTATTCTAGTAAACTTCATGATCTGTTTTTTTTTTAAATCTAAAAAACAACCTTCAAATTGACAACTGTTTAACTCTTACAATGCATAATAATCTGTGTACTAAGTATATAGAGTCAATGATAATAGCTATAGTTCTCTCAAATAGATCAACAAATATATTTACCAAATAAAAGTGTGGCATAACCAAACTTACACAGACCAAAATATAAGAATAAATAGTTAACATGACATCTTGGTTTTTTTTCATTCTATATTGTTTAAAGATTTCGTCTGTTCTTTTGTTTCAGTCAAGGTTACTTTTATTTCATATTCAATGGTAGGTGTTTGCCATTGTGGAGTTCAAAGAGCTTGACACAAAAGTAACACTTATAGTTTGTTTAGCTATTACACCACGTTGCAAGATTATACCAAAATTAATTATATTAATCAGATCTCGTCGATTGTTGTTTATGTTCATAAAAATGAATGCAGTTTTATAACTCCCGAAATTCTACACTAAAAATAAACTTTGTTCACTGATGTCAAACACAAGATTAATTTGAACCGTTAATTTGCACATAATACGTACTTAGTGAAATTTGTAATTTTATATTTATTTAACCATAGTTGTTTAACCTTTGTAGTTTAATAATTGTACATTAGTACTATGTTGCACACGTTAGTCAGCAAATTAAATACAAGTAAAATTTCGGAATTGACTGCATTTAATTATTTCTTTTCTTACTCAATTACTATTAAGTCACATGCCTATATATGACCGTCAAGCGATTTTCGTATCAATCAATTAAAAGCAATTTTTTTTCTTCTTAGTGAATATCGACTATCATTAAAAGCTAAAAAGAAATTTAATATTTTTAACGCCATTGGTCACTATGATAGCTAAAAAAAAACACTACTTTAGAGAAGATTATATTATCAAAACACAACAACGCTACTCTTCAATGTTTACAGTAATTATAAATGTAATATTTATTTCAGTTCTTCACGTTACTTCGTACTAAAATTCTTAACAGTATTGTGTATTATTATGTTTTTTATATAATGTTAAAAGAGAAAAAATAAGAAATTACACGTGGTTTCATGTCTGACGACCAACAGGTATATCAATAAATTTGGAACGAACGATTTTTGTGTAATAATAACTACCAACTATTATTATGGTGTGCGATTACAAACTTTCAAGAAAGAAATTCTCATTAGGTACAAGTAAACGTTAAACTAAGGTCTAAGGAGTTGTGTCTGAATCTTAGCGTTTTACATTGTGTCTGTAGTCTACCACCAACTACACTAATTCGTTTTACTAGTATTAGTTCATGTTTGCCAACACACGTGAGCTATTATTTATTTATCTATTTTTTTTTTTTACTCAAGAAACTCAAGTTTGCAAGAATCTATTATATTATTAAAAAAACAAAAGGGAACTATAACACTACTGGGTAATACTATTTGAGCATTAATAAATACGATAATGAAATTCACATTTCGCAACACATTACAAAATTGGAATAATATCCAGATACTTTTTTTTGTAACTTCCATGATCATCAAATTATAAGCGTAATATTTTTTAAAAAATAAACAATTACCCAATGGTGTTATCTAAAAAAAAAAAAAAAATACTATTAAATTAAACCAAAATTTAAATTAACGCCAAGCTATCAAAATACTGAATGCCATTTAAGATTCTTATCATTTTACAGTTGTACAAAAAATGTTTTCTATAGTAGTCTTCATAATCATTAGATATTAAATAACATTCTACGAAGGCATTTAAAAAATGTATGAAGTCTTATAAATTAGAAAAGAATTGCATTTTAGGTGATATTGATCTATTTGCATTTAGCTTGCGTCTCCGAAACTTCCGGCCAACTTCCATCGCCGTGTGTATGAGCTACTTTTCTGACAAGGTCCGTTGATGGTGTTTTGCGGTCATACACCCAACCGATCTTGGCGAACATATCCAAAATCAATGTTGTAGGATTGGTCATGTTGCCGCCATATTCTTCAGCCCTGTAATCCCATGGGAATGCATGATGATAGTTGTGCCATCCTTCTCCGGTGGTCAAAATTGCCAAAGCCATATTTTGCACAGGTCTGATACGCCTGAAAACAAAACATAAAAGTTATTGACGTGTTCGATGTTTGGCGATAAGTAATTTACGAATAAAAGAATCTATTTACTTGTCATATGGTTTAGTTCCCCAAAAGTGAGCAAAGCTGTTGATAGAGAAAGTCATGTTGGTAAAGATCACAAATCGTAAAACGCCACTAATACCAATCGCTTCCATCAAGCTTTCGTTCCAGAAAACAATTGGTACAACAATTGGCATCACAAAACACATGAGTATCTTGAAAACCCAATAGTATCTACAAAAAAAAAAAAAAATTACAATCATATATCTTTAAAATATTTCCTACATTTTATATATTTAAAAATTACACGAGTTATTTTCAAAACTTTAAGTACACGTTATTAATATTTATAATATTTTCCAAAATAAAAACATTTAAAAAATATTAATATTTCTAAATTACTGTGTGGGTATGTGTAGTAACGTTGGAGTCAATTTTAGGTTTAGTGAAATTTTAATATGTATATACGATACACCCTTCGGCTCTCGAGTTGGTTCAAAGAAAATAAATTAAATATTGCAAATTTTTCCCAGTGAATTAGAATTAATTCCAAAACTAATGCCTATTTGACTCCCTAGTCTCTTAAGTATTTGTTCCGGAGCAACAAAAAATTGTTTATTAAATATTTTTATACATTATTTTAATATTTTATATTCTCCAGAATGAATAGATTTTACTTATTCCGGAACATTACCGGTGATAGAAGTCAATTATGCATAGACCGCTAATTTTTCATATAATAACTACATAAAATAAAATTATTCCACAATATTTACTGCAAAAATCCTCTTTACAACCTGACACGGCGCAAATCAGCATTTTAAAAATTCAAACTTTTTAAAATTTTAAGTGACATATTATTTGTAAGAGGATTTTGCAGCAAATACCGTTGAAGAATTTAACTTTTAACTATGTGATTATTTTATTAAAAAAATTTCCAAAATTGTTAATTCATAATAGAATAAAAAAACATTGAAAAATATATGTTTAGCCCTCCTATCTGGAAATTAATATCACCCTATATCTTGATATTAATTTCAATATGCTCTTAATTGTATGCCTTTACAGTAGCTATAAAGTATGCGACTGGCAGCAGGCGTTAACATCATATATAAGATTGATGGTCTACTTTTGTATACATTTTGAACCTATTTGGGGAGTTATACATAGATTGTACCAATACATTTCTCTAAACACAACATCAGGACCATCCTCCTAATGTGTGCCAAAATCAAATTATGAGGTAGTGGTTTTAATAACGTACTTGTTGTGGAAACAAACTAAAGGATCACTTTCGACGTCAGACATGTCAATAGTCTTGCTACGACGTTGAACTTCGGGGTGACCACGTTGCATAAGCCATCCGATATGTGAGAAAAACAGGCCACGACTGGCGTTGTGCGGATCCCCGTCAGTGTCACTGAACTTGTGGTGCAACCTGTGATCATGAACCCAATCCCAAACTCTATACTGTAAGCATAAAGACAAAAACCGGTCAGCACTAAATATTTAAATTACAATAATGAAGTCAACAACAATTTAATACCTGTCCTGCAACAGAGTAGCAAGCTAAGAGTAGGACTTGCATTGGTAACTTTGCTTTGTACGCTTTGTGAGTGTAGTACCTATGTACACCAGCAGTCACACCAAATTGTCCAATAAATCCGACTAGAAGACCTGTAACGTAAGTAAATATAAATTAAAAAATGTATACCATCATAAATAGAAACAAATTAATTTCAATATATTATCAATATGCCATTATCAATACATTTTATTACAAGTATAGTGCAATTCTAGGATACTAACGCAATAATTGATATTATTATCGCTTACTCATATTTTATAAGATAAAATGTACCTAATGGGTATAATTAAGGTCATGGTAAAAGCCAAATACTTTCGTATAAATTTAAAAGTTAATAGATCTCAATGTTAATTTAAAGCCACTTCAAATATAACAAAATAAATCTGACCTAATTACAAAACTAATTATTTTTTTGTTTTTCGACCCTAAAAATCTATACATACAGTAACTTGATAAATTTGAAACGAAAGTATAATGCTAAAAAAATGTATTTCATTATCCCAAAATAATATAAGTCAGCTCAAATATCACTTACTCGTTCGTTCATTCTATAAATAAATTATTAAGTAAAATTTATGAATCAAAATTCCCAAAAAAATTATTTCAATAATAAATTTGAAAAAATAAATAAATAAAACAATAATTTTTCAGAAAAATTGAGAAAGTATATTTTGTAACATAAAATATTTAAAAAACTTATAAAAGCCAGAAACGGTTTTTTGGAAACATAATAATAATGTGAATAAAATGTAAAACATAAAATTTAAAAAAATAATAAAAAAGGAAGAAAATTAAGAAACATAAAGTAACATAATATTAAATTTAATCATATTTTATAATTACTTTTATAACAATTATATAATAATAATTATATAATTGTATATAATTAAAAGAAGAATTATAATTTATTATAACAATAAAATAAAATTATAATGTATAAAAAATTATGTTTCCCACAAAAAAATTACTTTTTTTTTAATGTATTTTTAATCATTTATCGTATTTTAACTTTTTCCCCGTAATTTCTCATCATTTTTATACACCTACACTGTTTTTTTTACACTAGTGTTCCTATTAAAATTTTACTCGTTTTTTGTATAAGTAGTTAATTGGAGTTTTAACAATAGCAGAGCCATATTTCCCATCAGACAAGATAGGCTAAAACAAATTATTCAAAATATTCAAGGAATATTCAGTTTTACTTCTTGTATACCTAACAATACAATACAAATTCATTTTTATGACCTTGAATAATAATTTTAAATTTTAATGTTCATTTTATAAATTAATTATAATAAATATAATATTCATTTTTATTTATTTAATGAACACCAATATTATTATGAGGCTCATGTTCTATTAATGGGTTGGAATATTGGACGATTTCTAATGTTATAAAAAGGAACAGCTAGGAACATTAGTTATTAGACGAAATAGCAAATAAATATAAAAAACCACATATGTTTTTAGTACGCTGTCTGGAGTTACCGTACTTTTTATAAAAAATGGGGTTGAAATTTGAAATGTGGTAAGTACTTTTAATGGTCAGCTGTGATGGTAAAAATTAAACATATTTGTGGCCCCTACCATTAAAAAAAACAGTATTGTTACTCAATTCAAGTGGTTCCAATGATAGTAACATAATAGTAAAACGAAAAAACAATTTTCGGGAGGTATTTTTAATTTTTATTTAACTTATGGATAGGCGCCCTCAAAGATATTTTAACTTATAGTTCAAAATGTCTAAATCAGGGCCTGAACAATAGGTTTAATTAATTGGATCTTGACTTTTGTTTATAAGATTTTTTATCTTTAACTCCGGATGTATGTATAGAAGGTTGGTCCTTTTTTTAACTGAGACAACCCCTACATTAGTTCCAAATACATTAAAAATAGCCATCTAAAATCTTAGGCCTTACTTTTGATTTTAACACCGTGCCATTTACTTTTTAATAGACTGGAAAAGCGTATGGAATAGATTTGGCCATGAATGCAGTTTTAAGTCTCGGTCAAGTTTTTCAATAAATTGTTTATGGAATACATGTATTCTTGCAGTCAGGTTTTAGGGGCGAAACTTACTTTTGAAGATATAGGCAAAAACTCAAAACCCATTTTCTTACGTTAAAATTAATAATGAAGACGAAAATCGAATAACTTATTTTATAAAATGTGTAAAAACTTTTTGTCCGTACATAAAATACGTATTTCGAAAAAAAACGCTATTTGGCATAGCGTTCGCTAACTTAAGAGTTATGGTTTCTCACCCCACACAATTGTCGCCAACTTCACATTTCTCAAGTAGAGAACCGTACATATTGCGGCTAGCACGTGGAAAGTGGTCAAGTATATGGCGGTGGACCAAATGATTTCTCGCTTTTGCGGCGTTCCCTGCGGTTTCAGAGGTTCCTCCAACAAGTCTTCTTCCTTGTTGTTGTTTTCGATCAACGGTTCGGCGACAGACTCTTCGCCCTTTGATCTCAGTTGTACGCCCATCTCGTAATAAAACCAGTGGGTGTCTTATCCGAATTAAATATATCCTATGTACACGTACTGGGATTCACGCGTTAACTGTGGACAAAATTCAAAACGACATCCGTTAATCGATATAATATTGTATTAAAAAGCATAAAAAAAAAGTTTTTTTTTAAATTGCCAACCATCAAATCAAAATTTTGTACCTTGGTACAAAATGTTATACCGAGCGCATCACACCGACGCTAGCTAAAGCCATGTAAAAAAAGAAAAAAATGGTGACCAACACATGAAACGGGTATTGTTAGACCTAAAAGTTGTATCAACCATCTAGAGCGGTCATCATTTTACTCAGGGTCACACCCCGATAAAAACGTGTTGACGTTATTTTTAGTATCGACTTTTTTTTTCGACCTAGAGAATGTGTTTCTTCTACATTTTCGAGGTCGATTAAAGGACAACCACTTAGTTCAGTAGTGGTGCTGTCGCCAACGAGTCGTTATACATCGCTCACAGGTAAATATCTACTAATTTTTTGGTTAAAAACTTTTTAAAAATGTTGGTAGTCGACTTTCGTAAAAAAATCATAACTAATAATTTTCGGATTCTAGACCACTGTGCTGCGTTAGCTCAAACAGTTTAATTTTGCTTTTTAGTCGAGTTAGATTCGGATTCTACAAACGAAGCTGCATGGACGAAAAAAACAGATTCCTATAGCATAACATGACATGAAAATAAGTGTTTCGATATTCCTGAAAAACTTACTTTTTTAGTTAATATGGTTTAAAACTAAGCGTGCGACATCTATACGACATTACTCTACTGTCGAACTTACAATATAATAATGGTTCTAATATTAATTCATCTACAAAATTCTTGTGACCGTGTTGTCCCGACAACGGATTAACACACAACCGTTGACTGACACGCGACTGCTGTGAACATATTATTACGGTTCTTTGTGAAATAAAAAAGCGGCAAAATAAAAGCTAAAATGCCCAAGGATATCTCGGATAATTAAAAAATCATGCCATCGAAACGGTCGCGGCCTTTGTGGAAAATCCGCTCGATAAAAAGAAATTTTTAGGGTACTTGTAAGGATAATAAAACCAAAACCCTTCGCCGAACCCTTCCCACGACCCGTCGGGTTTGTACGTTCCGGTCCAACCGAGCGGAGTGGCCAAAATAAAATTACCAACGATTTTCATAGTTCACATAAGGTATTATCACAGATTATATTAAAACTTAGACATCCGACTCGAAATGTGTATCAAAGTCGGGTAAACTACTGAGTTGGCATAAAAAGATAGACCTCTCTCTTGATATAGAAATATAATATACCGCGTCTGGTTGTACTATGTATGTGTGGACTGTAATATTGTACATAAATAAGAAAGTTAAAAAAAAAATTGAACTAAATGAAAATTTAAAAAAAAAAATGTTGGTTTAAACATTTTTAAAAGTATATTAAAAATTAAAATTAGAATTACATTTAAATTGTACATAAATAAATTAGATCTATGGGGAATTTTTAACAAGAAAAAAAAATGACAATAGCGAATTCGAGTTCACGTTCGATGAGTATTAAACCTACAAAAACTCTTTAAGACATAAAATACACTGACCAGATTTTTGCAGAGTTATTTCCACAAAATGCACATGCCAACGTTAAACCACCGTTTGAACGGTAAACTTTAAAAAAAAAAAATGTGAAACACTAAATTATACTTTTTTTTTTTTAATATAGATAAGTGCGTTGCCGGAGACCGTTGAATGACTAGTGCCGAGTGCTCGCCGGCGAGCCGTTACAAGCCGGGTCGGTTTTCAGTCGATAATATAGTACGATTATATTATTTTATGTACCCATCTATAATATTATGCGCTGCTACAACCACCACTTGTTCACAAACTGTTTTAACTGGCAACGTTTCTCGATGAATATATTTTGTCCACGACCGTCGTGGAAACGGGTTTTCGTTTTAAACAGCCGGTCCCCTACCTTAATATAATATTATACAATGTAGTACACACACAAACACAAGAAGTTCACCTACTCCAATGAGAAAATTATAACACCACTGGCCAGTCAGCGGAAAATCACTGTCGTTATCGACGGTTTATTTATTTTTTACTACAAAAATAAAATTCGGTCGAGGCCAACCGAAGAGGTGCCGCGAATCCGAAAACTTGACCGGTGACAAAAACTTCACTACACTACTCAGTACTCGTTGATAATTATTGGCAACAGACCAGAGACAAAAATTATAATTCGTACTTGACCGACTGGTTATCATAATAACCGTCCGACTTCATCGATATCCATCTCCAAAATCGATTGACAATATTAGTTATTTAAAATATGTAGTATAATAACATGTCGTCACCTACAGTGACGTTTACGGAAAGACGATGTCACACACACACACACACACACGACACACACGACACCTATGCCAGGTTGCACAAACAATGTATTGCTTAAATAGCAGTTTATTAGAATTGAATATAATATTGTCTATTCAATTAATTAGTCAAAGCGGGACACTAGTAAATTACGTTTAAAAGAAACCGCTAAATTTCTACCGACTCTTCTATAAGAGTTGTAGAAATGTACAATTCATTGATATCACGTACACACCGGTTATGTAACGCTAGTAGAATTCAAGTTATCCTAGATAACAAAAATACATAGTCTACATTTTTATTATGATAATATTCTATTAACGAGGCCTGAGTAATATTTGTTTTATCATAGATCTGATCAATTTGCGCATAATATATATATATTATTGGTTATCGAATTTTCAGAATACCTATTAACAGTAAGTACAGCATGTTGGCTGTTGCGCACGTGAGGAAGATGTAAAACGTGGCATTTATAATTTGGACACAGCTGAACAGTTAAATCATAACGCACGACCTTGTATGATACATGAAAACAATAACGCTGACAAAACGGAAGAAATAGTTTTTTACACATTTAAATGACCTGAATGCAATGCGATGTACAAGTAAAATATATACCTGTTGTCTAATCAATACACATCACCATAAAATAATACAACGCTAAAAAATCAAAATACGGCTCCACTTATGAAATTACAAACAATATTTAGAGGTTGTAAAACGATTGTATTGTGTTTGCCATTAAACGTTCGACAAACCAACAATAATAACTAAGATAATGCATATTAAACCGAAGGGTTCATTTGGAAGTTTCTACAACGCCCAAATAAAATTAAAACGCCACTGTACACGGTGGGCAAAACGCCCATTTTACGGGAAGATGTGTATATATATATTTTTTTTTTTTTGGCACATTCGACTACTCTTTTATTTCTTAAATTACTACAATTAAACTCAATAGGACATATTATATTAAATACAATACTAGCTAAACAACGTTTGTAATAAATTGTAAATAAGAACCAATGATTAACATAATAGATAAGAGCTAATTATTCAATAGCTTCACATTTTAACAAATCAGTTGCGAAAAATAAAAATACCGTCAGATGTGGATACAAGATACATTCATAAACCATAAAGTACACCTAAAAAATTACATATTTTGGCTGTAAAACTTGATTTACATTGTACATCTATTAATAATTTGGATAATAAATCCATATAATTGACACTTATTGATACTTAATAGTTTTTGACAATATATGCTTATGTCCAATAAATACCATATGATAACACGATCAAATACTGAGTTGCAATAAATCCGAAACAATAATTTTCAACATAAGTTTATTCTTAATTAAAAACTCAAGTCGTAGAAAAAATGTCTTGAAGTCGACTAAATAACTTTAACTGTTAATTTTTACGGTAATTTTTTAAATAAATAATTACGCACGGATTGTTATTTCTAAAATTCTCAACAATATATTACTAATTTTTAATAATTACCAGGATGTTTAATATATTTAAATTCATTACTTAATACTACGTGTTCAAACCTTTTTTTCTTACGCATTTTAACCATTTTCAATGAAATTCGTACTTTTCTTTATACCTACGACTAAAATAATAAAAATAAAAAAGAAGGTGTAACATTAACAGCAGCAATATACATTTGCAATGTCCAAACGACTTACAAAGATGATAATAATTTGTAATATTGTAAAAATAACATAAACAAAAATTCTTTACAAAACTATAAAAGTGGAATTACTTTTCAATAAAATGAGTGGAACACTTAATTATTGACCACACTGTATATAAACGTGTAGAATATCAAGAGCCCGCACATTAAAATATGACCCATCTAAAAATTATTGTACAAATTTAAGTTAAAAAAGTTTTCAAATTTATTGAAGTATCATGTTGTAAATAGGATGATCAATTTAACATTAGACACTTATTTTCTAGGAAAGTAATAACAATTTAATAGTTTTTCATTTGTATTTATGTTCTTTTACAATATTATAAAATTACTATATTATTTATATGTATTTTACAGTTATCGACTTTTGAAACATAAACGGCAACGTAAATATTACTAAATGTTCAATTTAAGAATATAATATGCTGAAAAGTTTGACTTGTCGATAACGAGTTTTAGATAATTACTTGAGATAGAGCGCGATTGAGTAGTGCGCGTGGATTAAAACAGTACTTCACTTCACCCTTGTTCCCGTCCTAAACTGAAATATTGCTTAGTTTTTACCCATAAATCTATATTATATCATCCGGTCAGGCGTCTATAAAAAAAAAGGTTATCGCCTACTCTAAGCTAAATTAGAAAATATTATACATCGCTTATTTAATCAAACGAATTAGCCATTTTTTAAATAGCGAGAAATATTTGGTTTATTTTGCGATTTAGGTAACCATATTTTTTTGTTGTCCTGTACTTCGTTCCGAACAATTTTAAATCGACAATAAAATAGAACGCAAATGCTGTTTTTCTAAGGGTTTTGACTCGTTGCTAGCGAATTGCCGAGTTATAATACGGCATCGGATGAAATTAATTCAATCGTGCAATGCGCATAATACTATTAAGATCCATATAAATCAAATAGGCCAGGCCAGACAACGTTCGTTTGTCGCATGCCGCAGGGATGACGTGAGTCGTGACCACAACAATG